GCACAGCTTCCTGCCTCAGGGAACAGCAGTTAAAAGGACAGCCAACTTCCTGATGGCCACGGTGGGAACCAGTTGATGGTGGAATACTGTTTTCAGCCTATTGAGAGGAGAAACCATCAACCTAGAACCCTGTACCCAGCAAAACTACTTTTCAAGCATGAAGGTGAAGTAAGACATTCCCAGATTTAAAAAAAAAAAATGGAATTGCCAACTAAAATATCTGCACTAAAGGAACCTCTACGTCAAGGGTTCATAGCAGCTTAGGGAAGCCTGAGGAGCCCATCTCAGAATAAGTCTTTCTAATGCATAAAATGAAATAGATAGGATTATAGAGGAAACCAATTATTTTGAAATCTTTTAAAATCCAAATATTTTAGAAATGTTATAAAAATACAAATGCTGCTTTATTAACTCATTAAGTAACAAAGTCCAGTTGCAGGTTTTGAGTAAATAGCCCTGGTGGAAGGCTGCATCACACTGGGCAGGACCAGGATGAATGGGTTCCAAGCATATATGAAGTAATTTGCATCAAAAAAAAATTCACTGCAGAACAGACTGTGTTGTATTTTGCTTGGATTTTCTTTCGACTCATGGGTTATTTGCATTATCTTAAAACAGTTTCCTTTTTTCTTTGATCGGTCTATCTTTCCCATCAATGTCTAGTTTTGCTTTTATACATTGAGAGAATGAAAGCTACAGATTTCTTTTCTATCATGGAGGAAGTACACTGAGAAGGAGAGTGGCGTTCCTTGTGGACGTTTTGAGTTTGATATATTGATGAAGCCTCCAGCGGAAAGTGGTGTGGAGAAAGTCAGGACTGCAGGTGGGAGTGAATGGTTGGGAGAGAGATGGTGGATTTGGGGTTGTTCTGAGAGAAGGAGGTAGAAGCCATGGAGATGGAGTGGATGGGAAGGCATGTATTTATCTCAGAAGCGAGCTGAGATGGACACAGATGGACACAGAAGGCATAATGGAGTCAGCCCTGCCATGTGGCCTCAGGTAGACCCAGACACAGAAAACCACCCAGAAAGAAAAGAAAATATAAGTCGGAATAATTAGGAGGTTCCCCTACTCCATGAAGGAGAAGGAAGCATTTTGCATAGCACAGGTCTGAAGTCTGGAAAACGTGGGGAAGTGGACTAGGTAGACTTCATTCATTTCAGGAAGCTCAGAATATTATTTGCCCCATTTTTGCAACAACAGTTCTTTCTCTAGAAAGTGGTGAAGCCTGGCTTCTTAGGGGTTAATTGATGCCACATTAGCTATTAGACAATCCTGCCATATGTTTTGTGAAATAATTGAATTGGCTTTCAAGTCTGCATTCTAGAAGGACTCGCTTCCTTACCTAAAATGTTGCATTATCATTTGCCTTTGAACCAGAAGAGCAGCTCGGAAGAAAATTCTTGATTTGGGACAAAGAAAGGACTTTTCGATCTTAGAGGACAGGATTTAAAGAGCTAATTTCTTCCAGGCCTCTGTGTTCAGACAGCAGTACCAAGCCAACAGGAAGGCCTTTGGCTCTAAAGATGCCATTACTTCCTGGCGGTCTATTATCCCCTTTCATTGCCCTCAACAGCAGGAAATTCTGTCTCATTTTTAATATTATCACTTGCCTCTATTTATGCTGGGCAGCAAGTGGAGAAAAAAAAAGTGGGTTGGTGTCCTTTTAACAACTTGCGGGTGCTCAAAAAGTTAAGCTTCTCTCTCTGAGAAATATCACGCCTTTGACATTCTTTTTTGGCTTTTCTTTCACAGCTATTTAATTATATGTTACTCTTCTCTGACCCTCTTCAATTTCTTCGTATTCTGTGTAAACTGTGGACTTTGAATAACGATATCAGTAAATTAAATGGGACAAAGGTTTCATGAGATGCAGTAATTTCACGGCTAACTAGCTCAATGACCCCATCTCTCACCAAAGTGGTACAAAATAAACCTGCAGAGGTACCAGAGTGGCAGAACATGCAACAATAATTCTCACCGGTAGTGGGAATTGAGCAAAAAAAAATAAAAGAAAAAAAAATTCAAACTAAGACCCGGTCATTTCTGAGGGGAGCTATGCTCCTCTCTTCTCTGGTGCCAAGTGGACCAGAGGAGGCCTCCTCTGGTTCTCTGGTGTTCTGGTTTTCTAGATCCGGGGTCAGGGAAGTCTGCTTCTTCTGAAGAGACATGGGGAGAGAGTGCACGTTTGAAAACAAGAATACAATATTCCACTCTTCATTATTAACATTAGTGTATTAATAAGCTCAAGTGGCCGTAACAAAGTATCACAGACTCGGTGGCTTGACTAACAGGAATTTATTTTCTCACAGTTCTGGAGGCCAGAAGTCTGAGATTAGGGTTGGGTTCTGGTGAGGGCCCCTTTCCTGTCGTACAGGCTGTTGAAACCTCGCAGTGTCCTCATGTGGCCTTTCCATGGTGTGCACATGTTGGGAGAGAGAGAGAGAGAGAGTAGAGAAATCTTTCTCATCCTGTCAGGCCACCATCCCATCATGAGGGCCGTACCCCTTGTAACATAATCTAACCCTAATTACCTGCTAAAGGGCTTACATCCAAATACCATCACACTGGGGTGTTAGGACTTCATCATATGGATTTAGTCCATCATAAGGACATTTAGTCCATAATAAATAGTTTTCTACTGCTGTGTCACAAGGTACCACAAATTTTATAGCTTGACACAGCAACATTCAGAGTTTCTCTAGGTCAGGAGTCTGGACATGGCCTAGCTGAGTCAACTGGCCAGGATCTTAAAAGGCTGCAAAGTGTTGCTGGGGCAACATCTTTGTAAGTGTCACTGAGTAGGACCACAGGAGTGATAGCCCATCATATTGATATAAAGGGGAGGGCTTTATACAAGCCCATGGATCATCAGGGATTATCTGAAGATTTACATGCCACAGAGTTTGATGGTTTCATTTTTTCCCTTTGTGTAGGGGAATTGGATCCATCTGTAATTACAGTTCTCAATGATACTTAGAAATGTAACATTTTCTTCAGTAAAGCAAACTGTCCATATTTGTTGGAGGTAAAATTATTTGAGGGGATTCATGGAATGATAACTGTGGGATGGAGGCAAGGAAGGTCAAGAATTTTTACTGTAGCCTAAGTTAAATGATTATTAACTAACTTCCTTTGTGTTTATAAATGCCTGTTCTCTGGAGGTTTGTGGGTTTCCCAATAAAATGTCTGTTATAAGCAATTTGGCCACTGTAGACATTTGATAGTTTTATAAACTTCAGCTTAGAAGAAAAGATCAAGGCGTTCTGTCTGAGCTTATTAAACATGGCTTGAGAGGTCTGGTGGTAGTTTAGGGATTTAGTGGGGCCCCATGTACTCATGAATACATAGGCCCTTCCTGAGTAAGGAGGAATTGGGCCATGTCTTAAAGAATAGGTAAAATTTTTTATGGTAGAAGTGGAAAGTAGAAGACAGAGATTAACATATGTTTTCTGGGAAGTGTACCTTCCCATCCTCTACCCAGGCTTTATTTGGTTCAGGCTGGTGCTGCCTCAAGGGAAAACAGAGGATGCTCTTCGGAAATCATATCCTAAGGAGAAGGCAGGGTCAGGGCCAGCTAGGCTGGGGCCATCTCTAGGATTTAGATTTGAGAGATCAGGAGGAGGGGTGCCATTGTGGGAGGAGAGATGACAAGAGGGAGAGTGGTTTGGGTATAAAAAGGAAGAGAGAGGTTATAGACCTTGTGGATGAAGAACAAGGGACTGGGGCTCAGAGAGACACAGGAAAACAGTAATCAAGGATTTCCATACAGGTTGCAGCTGGGTGGCATCATGAAGAGAGATTTGGGAGATGGGAAAGTGTTCGTAAATACTATTTGTTGATATTGAGTATGTTTGCAAAATGCATGCATTGAAGAAAGTATATATGTGATATGCTTGGGAGCAGAGCCATGTTGAGCTCTTTGGTTCATTTTGTTTGTTTTGTGTGTTGTGTGTGAATAAGATTCAGCAGTCTTGGAGGACAGGTCTTAGGGAGTGGGAAGGGAACAGAGGTGGGAGGACCTGATGGAGCAGAGAAGGGAGGACATCTGGGGAGTGATGCAAAGCCTAGTGGAGAAGGAGCCTCCCACAGGAGGATGTGGTTAACCTCAGGTCTTCAAGCTGATCACTGCACTAGTGTGTTGCACTCAGCGACCCCTCTGGTGACCTTGGGAAGTGTGTGGGCAAGTGGTGAGGGCTGAAGCCAGATTGCAGTGAGGAGGGAGCAGTTGTGTCTCTGTGATCTGTTGGGCCCTGCCTGTCCCAAGGAGCCTGGGAATGGAGGGATCCATGGCTAGCATGTGCCTCAGGGATTGTGGGCCAGGAGCTGAGGGGTGGTTCTCCTGAGAGAGAAGACACAATGATCTTCATGGGGTTAGGGAGACATGGAGGAGCCAGGGTGGGGGGAGGTGGCTGCTAGAAGAGGTCCTGGAGGGGACTCACTCGGTGGGACCTGGAGCCATGTAGGCCAGTATGTGGGAAGCTGGGGACCTCATCCAGTGGCACCGCCTCCTGGTGACTTGGGAAGCTGTCTGGGGGACCAAGTGTGGGAAAGGAGAGAGGGAGCCTGCCAGGTCTGCTGCGCCCAGCACCCATGCACAGAAGGAAAGTAGCCAGGTGACTGGCAAGGGGGGAGCTCCGCCTTTCCCCAAAGTAGGGTTTGTAGTCCTCCCTGTGATTTTTAAGTCACGAAGCCAAAAAACTCACAGGAACAGAGTGGAGTAAGTGCTCTTCCAGCAAGTGCATCCGTTCCTGGGCCCATCCATACAGAGCCTAAGTGATCTCTCAGGAGTTCCTGGTGGTCTCAGAGGCCCATGTGCCACCCACAGTGGCTGCAGGGTGAGCGTCCAGGTGGACAGCAAGCTTCATGTCCCCCTGCTCCTGTACGTGGGCTGGATTCTAGAAGTAGTCCGTTTTCAAGCTGAGATGGCCAGGACTGTGTTGATGGTCCATTAGAGGTTTCCAAAGAGTCTTACCTTCCTGCACCGTTTGTCCTTGCAGGTGCTGCTGTCAGGACTCATTGGCGTCGTCTCCTGGAAGAGGCCTCTCTCGCTGGTGGTAAGTCTGCAACTGTCTCCACAGCATCCGGGGAGCAGGGCCCTCCCTGCGGGGTTGTTAGCACTTTAAAGGTACCAGCAAAGAGAGTTCTGGCTGCTTTAATGAAAGCGGGACAGAGACCTTGATAGACCTAGAATCTCTCAATGCAGAGAGGCTCTTAGGTAACAACCAGGGTGTATCCTACCTTCTGTCCTTTGGAGAGTAGCCGTCTGGTGCTCATCTGAGATGCTCATGGGGCGTCCTCTTCATTTGTTCTGTTTGGGTGCTGGGAACAAAGACATTTTAGTAAGTGTCAGTGCAAGCGTTTTCTCTAGGTGTGTAAACATATTAGTGCACATGTGTATGCACACAGATGAGCCCATGGGCAGCCCCTCCTTTATCAGAGCTCAAGAAATGTAAGCCATGTGTGTGTTTTGGGGACTGAAACTCAGTGTTTCAGAGGAGGGTGTTTATTTGCTCCAAAGGCACAGGGGTGTTGCTGGAACCCCTTCCCCCATGGCCACAGCCCCATGCCGGGGAGGAGCAGGCCACATGGGAGATGGAAAGAATGGGATGGTTTTTCCATCGGGCAAGTAGCCTGAGCAGATTCATGTCTATTGATTTGTATGCATGTTTTTCTCAGGGTGTGCATTAATATATTTATGTGTCCGTGTCAGGGCCAGACGAAGAGGTTTTCTGGGTTTTGATGGATAATGAAAAAACACGGCATGGCTTTTTTTCTCTTTTGTAAGCATCAATTATTTAAAATCTCTTCTTTAAGTGATTAGGTTTGGAGATAATGACATGTACTAAATATTAATGGAAGCAGAAAAATCCCACAAATCTGCCTGTTGTAAACACCTTCCCCTCCCGAGAGTAACCACAGCATCCTGAGGAGGCATTGGGAAGAGAGTGGCATTAATTCAGTGAGCCTCTTCTCCTATGACTTGTTGAGAAATTTCCTTTAAAAAAAAAAAGTTTTGTTTTTTTTTTTAATGTAGAAAGTATCAAACATGTACACACGTCAAGAGAGAAGCTAGTATAATGAATCATTGTAGACCCCCCATCTGTCTTCTGCAAATATCAACCTTGGCCTGTCTTATTTGATCCAAGCCCCTTGCTGGAGTATTTTAAAGTAAATCACAACTAGTGTGTCAAGGAGCTGACTCCACTGTGCAGAGGGAAATGGTGGTGTACATACCAGCTGTGGGGCCGATGCCCTTTGGCTGTGCTTTTGGGCTCCCTTCAGGGACACGGGGCCAGCCTGTTCCATTCCTTCTCATCTGCCCTGATGAAACAGGCCAAGGAAGCCCTCTTGCGCTGGCAGCCAAATAAGGAAAAGCCACAATGGGGCGGTGGTGAGCACTTTCTCCCATTCATTTATTTCTACCCAAGCCCCAGGTAGGAGAGGAGGGCTTCCCCACACTCAACTGACCACTTTCTTTACTTAGGGAGGTAAGGGGGTGGGTTAGGCTAACCCTAGGTGCTGTCACAAAGCCCAGACTGTCAGTGGCTTAACATGGCAAGAGTTAAAAACCCAAAAGCTCAGCCAAACGACGTGCTTCTTCTAGAGTGGTCATTCCGGACAGTGGAATGGATCCCCATCACAGGGGATCCAGAGACCCTGGTTGCTTCCTTCTAGAAGGGACTCTACCGTTCCCTAGGCTTGTGGACTCTTACTTCATTTCAGTAGAACGGGAAAGGCAATGTGGATGGGCCTAAATGTGACCCTCATTGCTCACACGTCCAACCACTGTGGAGGGCCTGTCACATGGCCCTTTTGGGCTGGGTAGGAAGCTGGAAAAGGTAGTCCCTTCCTGGACTTCCCAGCAACAGCTCCATACTATATAAAGAGGTGGGCGGGAATTTTGGTAGAAAATTGTTCCTCTCTACTGTGAGATCATTCTTCTGTGTTGACCAGGACAATACAGTCTTCTTTATTTAAATTCAATTAGCCAACATAGAATACCTCATTAGTTTCAGATGTAGCATTCAATAATTTATGAGTTTCAACAATACAGACTTTTGATTCGTTAGTAAAAACTCACTCTAGACTCAGCTAGAACTGAGGAATCAATGAATTCTTTTATCCCAATCTAGAATTAATCTAGAATTAATCTAGAATTAAGGAATTCTTTTATCCCAAGTTCCTGTTTCTCTCCTCTCTACCCTAATGATAGTGTTTCCTTCTTCCTGGAGCTATAAAAGTGAAGGAGCCACTCTGACCGTTTTGGTTCATTTCCAGGGGTCTCACCACCACTCTCTGTCCCTGCGAAGAATTCCCCCTCCCCCCACCCAGAGGGAGTTGCCCTCTCTGAAGGAGGGTGTCTGTCCCTCAGGGTGGTTGGAAGAGGCAGTGTTGGGCCCTGCCAATCCAGGATCCACACCGCCATGCCCCACGCCCTGCGGGGGCTGGCAAGTGAGGACTGCCATGCGTGGGCATGCTGAAGGCAGGGTTTTGGTACTGTCACTGGTCTATTGGCAGTGCCTTTCCTCTGAAGGGCTGGTGTATGGGGTCATATCCTAATCTCTGCTACATGTCCTTTCTTTCCAACAGTCCGATCTTATAAAACACAATGGGATGAGGAACGGTATCCTTTTTGCCTGGAGTGACTGGTATACTGGTGGGGAGCCTGTGTTAGGAAAAAGCAAGGGAGAAGGGGCAGCAGGCTGTCTGAGAGGACGGGAAGGAAGGTTGCCCCTTCCAGGCCGGTGAATGTGATGCCAGAGGGAAAAGGAGGAGAAAAATACTGGGACTTTTTTGCCCTGGTATTTTATAAGAGCCTTTCATAATGTTGGAAAGTGATGATAGCTATTTCAGTAGAGAATATGTATTTTTGCATTAATGTGGTTCTTTTCTTCTTTTTTAATTGAGGTGTAGTTAATATATACTTACATTAGTTATATTAGTTATATAGTTTCAGGTTATATTGTTATATTAGTTCATAATTATTATATGATATAATATTTCAGATATACAATAGAGTGATTCAACAGTTGTGTTCATTACTCAATACTCATCATGGTAAGTTTACTCTTAGTTCCCATCACCTATTTCAACCATCCCCATCCACCTCTCCTCTGCTGACCACCAGTTAAGAGTCTTGTTTTTTTGTCTCTTATTTCCTTTGTTTGCTCATTTGTTTCTTAAATGGCACATATGACTGAAATCATATGCTATTTGTCTTTCTCAGTCTGACTTGTTTTGCTTAGCGTTATATTCTCTAGGTCTACCCATGTTGTTGCAAATGGCAAGATCTCAGCCTTCTTTATGGCCAAGTAATAGTCCTTTGTGTATATTTACCCCTTTTTATTTACCCATTCATTTGTGGACAGACAACTGGGTAGATTCCAGATCTTGGCTATTGTAAATAATGCTGCAATAAACACAGGGATGCATATGTCTTTTCCTTTGGGTGAATACCCAGTAGTGGAATTACTGGATCATATGGTAATTGTATTTTTAATTTTTTAAGGAACTTCCATACTGTTTTCCACAGTGGTTTCACCAGTTTACATTCCTACCAATAGTATGCAGGGGTTCCTTTTTCTCTACATCCTCCTCAACACTTGTTATCCCTTGTCTTTTTGGTTCTAGCTATTTTGATGGGTGTAAGGTGATACCTCATTGTGATTTTTTTTTCTTATTGTGATTTTGATTAGCATTTCCCTGATAATTAGTGATGTTTAGCATCTTTTCATGTGTCTGTTGATCGATCTTCTTTGGAAAAATTCTATTCCCTGGTCCTCTGCCCATTTTTAAGTCAGATTATTTGTTTTTTTGGTATTGTATGTATATGTCTTCTATATATTTTGAATATTAACCCCTTATCAGTTATATTATTTGCAAATATCTTCTCCCATTCAGTAGGTTGCCTTGCCATTTTGTTGATGGTTTCCTTCAGTATGCAAAAGCTTTTCATTTTGATGTAGTCCCAATAGTTTAATTTTGCTTTTGTTTCATGGCCTGAAGACACATATCTAGAAAAATGTTTCTGTAGCTGAAGGCAAAGAAATTACTATGATTTCTTCTAGGGGTTTTATAGTTTCAGGTCTCATATTTAGGTCTTTAATCTATTTTCAGTTTATTTTTGTGTATGGATAAGAAAGTGGTCCAGTTTCATACTTCTGTATATAGCTGTGCAGTTTTCCCAGCATGATTTGTTGACAAGACTGTCTTTTCCCCATTGTAAGTTCTTATCTCCTTTGTCACAAATTAATTGGCCATATAGTCATGGTTTTATTTCTGGGCTCTCTATTCTGTTCCATTGATCTAATTGTCTATTTTTATGCCATACCATGCTTTACTTTTGATTACTACTGCTATGTAGTATATCTTAAAATCTGGGATTGTGATACGTCAGCTTTGTTCTTCTTTCTCGGGATTCCTTTGGCTATTTGGGGTCTTTTGGGATGCTATACAAATTATAGGATGATTTGTTGTAGGTCTGTGAAAATGTTGGTATTCTGATACAGATTGCATCACATCTGTAGATTGCTTTGTGTAGTATGGACATTTTGACAGTATTGGTTTTTCTCATCTGTGAGCATGGAATAGCTTTCCATTTGCTCCATTGTGTCATCTTCAATTTCTTTTATCAGTGTTTTATAGTTTTCAGAGTAGAGGTCTTTCACCTCTTTGATTATGGTTTTTCATTATTTTTGGTGCAGTTATAAATGGGCTTGTTTTCTTTTTTTTTTTTTAAAGATTTTTTATTTATTTATTTGACAGACAGAGATCACAAGTAGGCAGAGAAGCAGGCAGAGAGAGAGGAGGAAGCAGGCTCCCCACCGAGCAGAGAGCCCGATGCGGGGCTCGATCCCAGGACCCTGAGATCATGACCCGAGCCGAAAGCAGAGGCTTTAACCCACTGAGCCACCCAGGCGCCCCATAAATGGGCTTGTTTTCTTAATTTCTCTTTCTGCTACCTCTTTATTGCTATATAGAAATGCAACAGATTTCTGTATATTGAATTTGTATCTACAACTTTACTGAATTCATTTATCACTTATAGTAGTTT